GTATTAAAAAAAAAAAATAAATTTTAAATTAGATATATATATATATAATAATTTATATATATATATTATTTTTAAAATTAATTAATTAATTATATATTTTTTTATCTTTAATATTTAATTTTTTTTTTTAAATCCAATATTATCTTCAAATTATAATAATAAATATATTTATATTAATAAAAATTAATATATATATATATATATATATTCATATATAAATATTAAAAATTTAAATTATATATTATTTCATTATCTAAATATATATTTTTTTAAATTTATATTCTAAATAAATTATATTATATATAGATTAATTTATCGATTTATTTATAATATATTTATTATTTATAATATATATATAATTTGAATTTGAATAATATATATATATATATTATTTTCCGAAATAAATTGAATTTATTCGAAATTCTTTATTTAATAGAATTTTATATCTCCAGAAATCTTCATTAATTTGAATATATATTTATTATTTCAATTATATATATATTTTATATATTAATTTTTGGAATGTAAATTAATTTTTTAAAGATATATTTCGAATATATTTATATTTATTATATATTTATATATATTTTTTCCTTTTTCATGGAATCGATTAATTTTATAAAATTGAAAAAAAAATATATATAATAAATCTATATTTATTTTTATTTTAAAGAAGAAGAATAAAATAAATTATATATTTTATTTTTGATTATTTATAATATATATTTTAATATAAATAAATTAATATTCTATATATATATATATTTTTTTTTCAATTTATATATATATATAATTTGATTTATTTCTGTATTTGATATATTATAGACATATTATAGAAATAATGATCATAATATTTTTTTTAAAAAATTATAGATAAAAATATATAATTTCTATCGAATTATTTCAATATTTATTTAAAATATTATTTATATCTATTATTTAATTATATGAACAAAAAAAACAAATAAATAAATAAAAAAAAATATATTTCTTATATTTATTAATGATTATATTTCCTATTCATCATAAATTTTCATTTCTTCCCAAATAATTTCCCAAATATAAATAATATAATATTGATCAAGAAATATCGATCATATATATATATTTATATCAAATTAATTTATATATATATTATTTATATTATATTTATATTTATATTTTTATTTCTATTTATATCTATATCTATATTTATATATATATATATCCAAATTTGTATTTATATCTATATTTATATCTATATTTATATTTATATTTATACTTATATTTATATTTATATTTATATCTATATCTATATTTATATCTATATCTATATTTATATCTATATCTATATTTATATTTATATCTATATATATATATATATCCAAATTTATATTTATATCTATATTTATATCTATATTTATATTTATTCATATTTATATTTATATTTATATTTATATTTATATCTATATCTATATTTATATTTATATTTATATATATATTTATATTTATATTTATATTTATATTTATACTTATATCTATATCTATATTTATATTTATATTTCATTATACAATATTATATTATATTATATTTTATTATATTATATTATATGATATTATATAATATTATATGATATTATATAATATTATATATATAATTATATATTAAATATAATAATATATATATATTAGATTTATTTCTTATCGATTCGGATAATTTCAATATTATCGGATATAATATCATCAAATATATATTATTATTTAGATAAATTCTTTATAAACAAAATATTTTGAATTATCTAAGAAAAAATATATTGATAATTATAATTTATATTTATATATATATAATTATATTTAAACAAATTATTCTCGTCCAATTATCTCCAATTTTTTTTTCTGCGATTTCTATATTTTCTATTCAATCTAATTCGAATGGGATCGTCAATATTGAAATAAAATTGCTAAATTATAATATCGAGAGATTATAATTTGATAACCTATAATTTGAAATATATGATCCCGGTTCGCGGTTCGTCAATCCCCCCCAGGGTAATCCCCCCTCCCCTTGGGGGGGGGATATACCCTATATATACCCTATATATACCCTTCATATATACCCTATATATATATATTATATATATATATACCCTATACATACCCTATATATACCCTATATATATACTATATATACCCTATATATACATTATATATACACTATACATACCACACCATACCACAGGGGGGGAGGGAACACCACAACCAATACCCTATACATATACCCTATATATACCCTATATATACCCTATATATACACTATATATACCCTATATATACCCTATATATACCCTATATATACCCTATATATACCACACCATCACAGGGGGGGAGGGAACACCACAACCACAGATAGGGGGAAGGGAACCACCACATGGGGGGGGGGGACCCTGAGGAGGAGAGGGGGGATTACAAAAGAAATCTGGATCATATATATATATTTTTAAATCATATTATTAATTTTTGAAATTAAAATCTTATAAAATAATTATAATTAATTCAATATCAATTTTGATAATAAAATATATCATAAATCCATCTATCAAATTTTTATTATAAATATATATCTATCAATTTCCTATCGAT